TTCATGAGAGGATTATCCTAGCTTTAAACTCTAAGTTGATTGGATTAGAGATCATGTGATTGCTTGCTATGTCTTTCTGTGTAAGATTCAGTCTTTCTTAGCTCTTATTTTGATGCACAAAGAAGCTGTCTGGTCATTTAGACTTGGAACCTTATGCTTGTTGATTGCTTATTCACTAATGGGAATTAGTCTTGATTAAGTAATTTGCAAAGGGATTTCTGTAATGATAATGAATTTATCTGATTTGGAAGTCTAGACTAAAGAATTGAAAGTGTTGCATTGTTTGCTTAGCATCATGAATTCACATTTAAAGCACCCTGCTCAATGATCACATCTAGATGTTTAGTTTTTCTTTATTTGAATTTGAGTCTTTGTTTGCTTATCTTGTTTGTTTAATTATTAATTACTGCTTGTTCTTGTTTGTTTTATTTTAGGTTTTAGATCACTTAATCACCAACCTGTTTCATTAGACTTGGATTAAGAATTGATCCTCATAGTCTTAGTGTCTAGAATCTCTCCATTTGGATTGACCCTGAAGTGCTACAACACAAAAGGTTAATTGACCTTAGTAGGCTAAAAACTTACTATCAGAAGGCAGGAGTGACCCACCAGACGATCAAATCTCTCGGGCCAAAATGAGTATCTCTCGACAAATTTTTGAATTAAATGCTAACAGTCCGAGCGGAATTTTGTTTTTAGGCTTAATACTTGAAGAACTAGAGGACAACTCAAAAATGGCCGATACGCGAGAATTTTTAGCCGAGCAAATATGACCACCTCGGCAAGTCCAACCCGACAATGGAATTTGTCGTCTGGGAGCTGACATCTCTCGACCAAAATCACCAGCTGAACCCAATGCTCGAGACAGAATCAAGTTTGCCCAAGCGGATAATGAGATTGCCGATGCCATGCAAGATTTGGCCGAGAAACAACAAATGAACCAAGACGAGCCACCAAACGACTCAGGAACTGTCAACCGAGGTAAGATCTCTCCACCAAGTCCATATTCTAAAGCTAACCAACGTGGGATATTGCCCCACCAACGTGTAGATTCGGAGCTGCCTCACAACACACCCATCAAACCCGATAAAGACCAAGTGGAGCAGGAAGCAAGGACGGAGCCTCAAGAAGACTTAGAAACTGAGGACGAAGGTTCAACTGAGCCAAGGGGACTCTTAGAAGACTTTACAAGCAAGGTTCAAGTCAAAGACACGACTGCATCAAGCTCATCCTCAGCGACCACACATACATCATCACGGATCTCTCTTCACCAAGGTAAGCTTTTCAATTATTATATCGTTCTTGCAGGTGATCCAAGCCCTCACAACGGCTAAGTACTACATCAAAACGACATCAATATTTTAGTTTCAAGAGTCTGTTGCAAACTTTCCATATTTGAGTTTAATGAAACGATGAGTTTATGTTTTAGGCGTCTAGGAATAGTTCTTGTAGTTTTGTTTCAAACGTCCTGTTGTTTTGAGTCTTTCCATTTTTCTTTGAGTCGAACCCTAGAAGGTTCAAGCTGACGGACTGTTTATAAATCCCACACGCAGCTTTCTAGTCCGCAACCTTTTTCTCATATCAATATAAAGCGAACTTTTTCTAAGTTTCAGAGAAGTGATTTCTCATCTTTGTTCATTGTTTGCTTGTGTGGTTCAAGTAAGCGTGCGCTCCTGCACTGTATGAGAGAGTAACCTCCCCTCTGTGTCGTGTATTCACTCCGCCAACACACCATTCCTTGATCCCACACAAGAGGGCGACCGCCTGTGTGTCAGATCTCCATCCTCTGACCATCCACCGAGCCAAAGAGAGGGCGACCGCCTGCTTTACCTCACCATCCACTTATATCTCGTGAGAACCCCATGGTTCTTACATCATTAAGTCTGCTAAACCGAGAAGAAATACCCTAATGGAGATGTAAATTGAAATTGAACCGAGAATAATTACCCTAACCGAGAATAATTCACATGTAAAAAGAGATTCTACATTGAAAGTCATTGTTGTTTGGTAAATCAAAAACAAAACAAAAAAACCCTAGCGGCACTCTCTTCATTGCCACCATTGATTGCCTCTTGCTCGCCGCCTAATTTGCTGCTGCTTGCCTCTGCAAAATAGTAAGTCCTCCTTCCTCCTTCCTCCCTCTTCCTCTTCTTTTCGGTGACTTGCTTTCTCAATATTTGTTTTTTTCTTTTCTTCAGAGCTCCTGCTGTTGCTGGTTGACTCTCCCTCACTTCCGCTTTCTTGTAGCCTACTTCAGGGAAACACTAAGCACTCCTTTATTCTTCCTCCTTCCTTGCCGGGAACGTGCTTCCTCAAAATTAGGTTTTTTATTTTATTTTCAGATCTGTTGCTGCTGCCGGTTACTTCTTATTGCTGCCGGATTTCTCTTGTTGGTGCCTGTTACTTCTTCTTCGGAGAGTTGTTTTCTCATTTAGGGTTTAGGTTTCCTGTGTTTTTTTTTTATTTCACTTTTTTGCAGACTTCTTTACAATTTCAGACCAATGTTGTAGACTTCTTATGTAGACTTCTAAATTTCTTTCATACTTCTTTAAATGTAATGGTCATGAACTTTTTTGAGTCATGCATTTGATTATGAACTTGTTGTGTATGATCAGTAAGTGTACTGGTCATCAGTTGTAATAATCATCAAGTATAGTGGTCATCTATTATAATGATAATCGATTTTTTTTGATAATTTAGGTGATCCGGCTGAATTAAGGAACCGCCGGTGGCGCAGCTTCGGATTTTTAATCCTGACTGTAGACCAGCGCATCATCCCCCCAACACCGACAAGTCTTGGGATCCGAAGAGACCATGTGAATGCTCCGGTGGCCAAATGAATTATATGTTGCAATTCCTCTTCGTGAGGAATCGATCCCTGGCCTAGACCAACATGGCAACTCTCACAAAGGAAGGGAACCAGCCCACTACCACCACTTGGTTTTGTTTTGTTTTGTATCTTTATCAAGTGTGATGCTATTTTATATAGAATGTTTTGTTGTTTTTCTTGTTATAGTCATAATCAAGTTATTTAATACATACACCAGAATCATGGTTCAGAGTAACACAATACATAACATGTAATAAAAATAGTTTTAGTAGACTTCTTATGTATTTAGTAGACTTCTTTTTGGGTTTTGTAGACTTCTTAATGATTAGAGTAGACTACATTTTGATTTCCGTAGAATTCTTAATGATTAGATAGACTACATTTTGATTTTAGTAGACTTCTTATGGATTTATAGTAGACTTCTTATGGATTTAAGTAGACTTCATGTGGATTTTAGTAGTTTTGTTATTTTATTTTAGTAGACTTCTTTTGATTATAGTAGACTTCTTTTGATTCAGTAATGAGTAAGTTAACTCCACCAACTCAGTCTTCTTGTCTAGACTATAATCCTCTTGTACCATTTCAATAAGTTTCCCAAAAGTACAATCATCACTCAAACAGAATATTTTTCCTCGTTTGCCACTATCCACGACAAAATACCACAAGTTCTCTTCCATTTTTTATTATCCATAAAAAACAGGTAGTTGAAATCATTCTCTGTAAAAAATTACAAAGAAACTATGTTATCAAATATAATTACAAACCACATTATGACAAACACATAAGTAACAAATTTTCTCTATAGGAGACTTCATTTGAAGACTTCGAAGTCTTTTCTTTCAAGCTAAATAGTTATTAAATCAAGAAAATTGATTCATACATAAATATCGATAAAAGCATAAATCAAACTTATTAAGCAGTTAAGACAGTAGCTATCACACATGCCAAAACCTAAAAACCTTAAAAAAATCATTATAAATTTTCAATAAGTGAATTTTAAAATAATTATACCACACAGAAAACTCTTGAAGATTTGCAGAGCATACTCCATTAGAAGTCTGCGGAAGAAGTATACAGAAAAAAACATATGAAAATGGTTAGTTTTGCATTTGACCAAAATTTTAACTTTTGTAGTAAACTTCAGGCAAAGTCTGCAATCTTAGAGTATAATTCACTTGAAGTCTGCGAATGACATACAACCTTGAATTTGTAATTAAGTAATTATTAGGAGTATTTTTGACTTTGTGTTATTATTAAAAAATGAAATATTAAATATATAATGGCATTTTTGTGAATATTGTGAATGTCAATGATAAAATAGATAGAAAATGACAAATTTAGAAAGGGTAGAAAAATTAAATTAGTTTTATGTTTAACCATAATTCTTAGGTCATTTCTACAGGTTGTCCTTGTTTTTAAGTATATTCCTTTTAGAATTATTAATAGATTATTCGATAAAAAATGTCAATGGGTTTGGTAGGAATGGGTCACCTTCGGTCATCTCTCTTTATCTTTTTGGTACATATAACCCATCAAATGCAATAGACGTGGAGGATTGCTGCCCACTCCACATGATTTATATGATGGTCCTTGAGTAGGACCACTTACATTAGCACTCAATATATTAAAAATGCATCATTAAGATTGTACACTGTGTCTTATCAAACTAATTATGTTTTTTAGTACCGCTTTGTTGAAACTTTCTAAATTATTCGTAGTCGCTATCCTTGCCGTGCACAGGTAACAAATTAACTGTATACATATTATTTGTAACCGACCGAAATGAAATCATAGGAAATGTTTTAAGAAACTCAACTGATCTGAAGAGAAGAGTATGGTAGAAACGTGCTTTACATAATGTTGAGAAATCAAGCGATCGACCGAAGGTCCGAAACTGAAACAAAAATGATGGAGATTACTAACCGCAATTAAAATTTGATGATAAAACATTATTATAGTTATTAATAAACCTGTTATATGCATTTGTATTTTATTTTTGTTTGACTAAGTGAAGTAATAAATGTATGTATTTTGTTTTTTTATAGCTTTATTCGTATAAATGTTTTTATTCAATTCTCTCACAGTACATTTTGTGCATTTATTCTCATGAATTTATCACATTAAACAGGAAATCGCAATGGCGTTGCTCGTACCTCATAAATATGGACTTCTGTCTATCACGAGTCATTACTCTATTTATGAGCCCATTCATGGCCATTGAAATAGAATACTAGCTAACAAAAACAACTTTATACATGTTTTTCCAACACGACAACCACTATCGCCTTTCTCTTACCATGATCTTGTTGGCCGAGACATTAGTAGATTATTTTTCATTACAATAAAAGCGATAAAATACGCTGATATATGATGTTGAACATCAAGGTGAGGGAGCCACCATGGGCATAAAATCACCAGAAGGGGAAGAAGATATATGAGAATATCGACAAGGGAGAAACCTATGGAACCACGGGTGAGGACAGTAGTACTTAGGTTTGACAAAGAACTCCGCACATTCATCAATCGATCTTTGTCCTGGGAAGAATGGAATGCAATTGTTAGTAACGTCAAGAACACCTCTTTCAAACAAACCCTTACACCAAGGTCCCACGTGTGTGAAATAGTTATCAGACAACGATAAGTTGACAATATTGTCCCAGAGCAGCATGCACACTGCCTCGGGGATGGCCCCGAACAAGAGATTCCCTGCAAAGTTGAGCTGCTCTACTTTCTCTAGACACATAAGAGAAAGCGGCAAAAGACCCGTGAGCTTATTTCCACTGATATCAATCACTGATGCTCCCTTAAGGAATCCAATCTCGTAAGGGATACAACCCGTAAAATCGTTATTCAAGAAGAGTACTTCGGTTAACGTTGACATCGATCTTAGGATGCTTATCGGGAGAGGACCGTTGAACTTGTTGTCCGCTAAAGTTAAGAAAAGAATATGACTATCTCCAGGTATCTCCGGGAGGCTCGCAGTGAAGGTGTTATCATTGATGAAGAGAACCTCGAGGTTTTGACCGAAGATTTGCGGTGGGACTGAACCGGAGAAAGAGTTGAACCGGATGTCAAGAAATGTCAAACCGGGCATACCAACTACGGCGGTCGGAAACGGACCGGTAAATTTATTGTTGCTGATGTCGAGTTCGTAGAGATACTTGAGATTGACGATCTTGGAAGGGACAGTACCTCCAAAGTTGTTCGAGTTTACATGAAAGAGAGCCAAATCGGGGAACTGGTCGATAAAACCTTCGATCGAGGGAGCAGAGAGCTGGAAGTCATTGAAATCGATGGAAGCGACAGTGACTGCGGTTTTGTTGTCCGGAGGATTGTCACAGTGGAAACCTCGGTAACTGCAGATGTCTGAACCAAACCATGTCTGTGTTACCTTAAAAGGATCAAGAGTGATGAGTGACTTGAATCTCTGGATCACTGGGTACACCACTGCAAGCCTTTGGTCTAAGAAAGTGAGTCTCTCTTCCCCGCTGCTGCTTGTATCTGATAATGCGATGGCCCCAACAATGAGAAGAGCCAAAAGCAAAGGATTCTTCATTTTTGCAGCTGAAACGAATGTTTCTGAAATAGAAGAGATGATTGCGAATTTCGTAAAACAGGTAGTTTTTTAGTGTTTATTGTGCTTTCCAATTTTTTATTTTCTCCTTTTCTGTGAGCAGGCTTTTTAGAGTATCATAGTGTGTTCCTTTGTAGTGTAGTGTGACTAGGCGTGTCGGCGGGTCAATGAAGGCAATATAATTTTGAAATTAGATTAATTTATATAGTTGGTGAAATTTGTGGAAAGAAAAAGTATAGTTGTTAATGAATCTAATAAAATTGATTGTTGACGAAGTAACGTCTATCACAAGTAAAATAATATACCAGCGATTTTATGCTCCTGATTTACTTAATAGAAGAAACTTTGCAAGAAATGATGGATCAGAATATATGGTTGAGAAACCCTAACTTACAAATTAAACCTAACTTAATTTACATTCTTTTTTTTTTCCGCTACCCAACTATTACATCATATATGGCCAGTCGGGGCGATGATCCGGGAACCATCATCGACTAGCTCGATATGAATGGTTTGGGAAAAAACAAAACCTCTGACACGGGCTCCTTTTGCAAGACTATCCACCCGGACATTTTGATCTCTGGGGATATGCGATAAGGTGAAGTCCAAGTAACTCTCCCGGAGGATACGAAAGGATTCCAACTCAGTTTGAAAGGACGACCAATCTGATGGTGAACCAACCATGCTAACAAGATCCAAACAGTCGGTTTGAAAGTGTACCAAAGATATCTCTCTTTCTCTCAAACTAGACATAGCCAAAGGAGACAATCCATCTCGGCGTGAAGAGCGAAAAGGCTTCTTCGACATTCCTGGACTCCAAAAGTCTCATTTTAGGTGTCATCCAGAAAACTCCAACCGAGTCCACTCACCAATCCGTGATTGATCCAGGAGGCATCAATACGGCATAAGGGGGTACGCCGGTTCTCGCTTAGGTATCTCGGAGGAGGTTGGGGACCACAACTCTCTAATTCTACGTCGTCTTCTTCTGGTCGGTTCGCGATTCTCCAACTTTCCGCTTCCACTTTAGCATGTATAAGGTATCTTCCGAGGAAATTTCTTTCCCGTTGAAGATCTTATCGTTTCTGGCTTTCCAAATATACCAAAGGATCCACGGATATATGTCCTTTTGAGGATCTGTCATGCCTAACTCTTACTTAATTTACATTCATTTAACGGTTTTTTTAGAAGAATAACGAACTCTTTCAATATTCATTTACTGTCTAATTTTTTTATTAAAATAAAGAAACTGAGAATTCGAAATGTCTTAACAATAAATCAAATTTTAAATAGTATTTGAAGAAAAACAAAAAAAAAATATTTAAATCGTTATTAAAAATAATTAAATAAAATAAGCAACACCGCACCAACCGCCACATTATATGATGTAGTAATACAAGTATTCATAATATAGACATTGAACCCACACAACATTCAACCTATAATATAATAACTAATTTTATTATATAATATAATTCTAATATTTTCTAATCGGATAGATAATCACTCAATCATAGCAATCAACCTAGAGATTCTATAACACATTCTCAACAAACTTCCGTCAATGATACTCATTCTCTGCCACCATCCATCCTGGACTTGACAAGTTACCAGTGCCACCACCCTCAACAGGGCTTGACTATGGCTCGTCAGCCATTTCTCGATCACTACAGCTTCACAATATTCAGTCCTTCACTATAGGCCGTCAAACAAAACTGTAAACAATCATGTTCACAGCATTACAACAACAAGTACTAACAATCTATCAACCAAGCAACTCAACATTTTTCTCTAAGCCCTAGTATCATTCATCAATCATCAATTAACAATCATCAATTATCATTCAAATCCAATATCTATACCATGCATACACTTATCACTAGACCAACTAATGCATCAAATGAATCTACTAACTAGTCCTCACCTTAAATACACCACAAAGTCAAGTCTGAAGAAAAGAAGTTGGTATCCAAGCCATGTGATACACACAACACAAAAACTAAGGTTTCAGATTCATAGATCCAGGCTGTTTCTTGGCCGAGAAGATACAGTGATAACTTTCATAATTTACCCCGGAATATAGATCGGAATGTTGATCTGGAAAGAAGGATCTGAGATCTACAGATCGGTATGTGGATCGCGATCTGGGTTCTTCTGGATCGACGGAAAATCTCCTATCAAGTTGGCACTGCAAAACTGGAAAAAACAGGTTTGTAGAAACAAATGATTTTTCGCCAACTTTCAACTCACGTAAAAAAACGTAACTTATGATCTGCAAACTTCTATGGATTCCTTGCAGCGATAATCTTTTAAGAGGTATAAAGATCGTCACCTAGATCGATCTGAGTTGCTGGCAAATGACTCCGCAAAACCCTCACTCGAACAAATTTTAAACTGATGCTGCAGAGGTTATTATCGACTTTCACTGTGTTAACTCTGTATGGCAGAGGTTTTAATTCTTCACGTAGGTCCAAGCGTTAAGCCACATTTCCAATCCTTTCTAAGATTTTATACGGTCCAAGGTATCTTGTAGTCCTGGGCATTCGGGTCGGCGGTTCGGGTTCGGGTCGGTTCCTCGGGTTTCGGGTATCAGAACAATGATTGTTTAATAACCGAATAAGAACCGAATAAATTTCGGTTTGGTTCGGGTCGATAATTTACGGTTTCGGTTCAGTTTTCTTTTTTTTTTGTATAAACCCGAGGTATATCCGAATATACGATTTCGGGTAATTTTGTACCCGAATAACCAAATAAAATCAATGAAAATGAGTTCAAATTGAATTTCGGTTGTTTATAAACCCGAATAACCCGAAAAAACTAATCAAACACGAAAAACCCGAAATAAACCAACAAAATCCAAATATCCATTTGAACAAAGCGTGCAAAATAAAAAGAAGTTATGACAAAGTTGTGCACAATATCGAGAATACATGTTCTCCAAGTTGAACTTCCATATCAGTTCCAACCATAAATCCAAAAAAACTAATGACAAAAGACATAGAAGATTGAAAAACATTAATTGCTGAATCCTAAAAACTATCTCATCCAGCCTTCCTTACAAAGTTGCTATCTCTATCTCCAACTCCAATCTTCTTATCTTGCCTGTATACAACAATGATCAAAGGAAAACAAGTAAACAACAATGACAAAGACCAAAACGTTCTTCCAAAACTCATCACTAAATCAGTATAGCCTCATCGTAAAACAAAAACAAGCAAACATAACATTACCATCATAACCAATTCAGCCTCATCACTAAACCATTCAAAAACCGATTATTACCAAACTTCAGTTAAGCATAACATTACTTTATCACGTCAGTCTTCATCTTCAGGTTCAAACAAGTCTGGAGACTTTAAGTTATCCATTTCTGAGAAGTGAAAAAAGATGGATAACATTAAAAACATTAAACTTTTCGGATGAGATTTTAAAGAGAAGAAACATACGTCTTTGAAGTTTATCCTGCAACTCAATATCAGCAAGCAGCTCTTCTTTAGTGATCACACCTCTATCACTTAGACGAATCTCACACTTCAGCCATTGCTCAGTGCACATTAGCACTTCAATCATGTAATGGGTTAAACAACTTCGAAATGGGTGTAAGATTCGATCATTTGTGCTAAAAGCAGACTCTGAAGTAACAGAGGACACCTGCATTGCAAGCACATCCCTTGCCATCTCGGATAAAACCGGAAATTTGCAGCTGTTCAACTTCCACCATCCCAAAACATCATAATCTGTACCGAATATGTTTTTTTTTGGAGTTTCACATTTCTCCTTCAAGTATATATCCAACTCCGTACCTGAATCTTCAGTTCCTAACTCATCTATCATCTCTTTGTAGACAAAATCCATTCTCTCATATCCACTTTCAAAGTCTAAATCCATTTTGTCAAAGACATTACCTGTAGCATGATCTTGAGTCGAAGTACCACTCTGAGACTCATTTCCTGCGGATTTAGATGATGTCTCACCTCCAGATAACTTGTTGCTATACTCCTCAAATAATTTCTTCATAACCGTAGTCACAGAATCCACCAACTCCCTTGATTCAGGACAATCTTTCCCATAAATCCTATCAAAGCAAAGAGTAGCAAACCTCATTTTGTTGCTTGGATCTAAGATACTCGCAATGATTAGAAGCCTATTGATCTCTGGCCCATCCCAGTACTTCTCAAACTTCTTTCTCATTGCATCGGCCTTTGACCTCATTGTTGAATCCTGATCTTTCCTCAGCTTGATCAAGTTGGTTTCGATGGTCACACACTACAAGAAAGATCGGGGTTTACGTCGGCACATATCGACGTAAAAGGGCATTTACGTCGAATTAGCGACGAATGAAAAATCGTCGTAAAACAATCGTCGTAAAATAGAAATCGTCGTAAAATCGTCGTAAATTTACCAACCAAAGAAAATCGTCGTAATATCGTCGGGAATTATTCGTCGTAATGTCGACGTAAGTACAACGAAAGTACAACGAAATTTTCCAACGAAATGAGTCCATCATGACAACGACGTAAAATCGATGTAAAATTACGTCGATTAAACAACGATTAGGAAACGACCAATTTTAATTAAGGGAAATTAATTTTTTATTTATCGTTACTAATTCGTCGTAAATTTTCGACGTAGATTCGACGTAAACGTATTCGACATAAATTCGTCGTAAATAATTTGACGTTAGTTCGACGTAAAGTTACGACGAATTTACGTCGATTTATAAATTAATTAATTAAATTCGATTTTAATTTAATTAATGAATTTTTAAAATAATCAAATAATTGAAAATATAAAGACATTTTAAATTAAGATTTAAAATCAAAAATAATTTATAAATAAAAGAAAAAATGTAATACAATTTGTTTTTTACAAAAATAAACCTACTCTAATGTGATATCATAATCGTCGAGTTTGAGATCGACGTCTCGAGGAGGCTCTCCGTCTTGGCCGGCCGTGGCTGCTGGACCGTCGTTTCCCGTCTGCACTATCGGAGCCGAAGTCTGACCCTGTGTCTGCTCACCGGAAGTACCACCGGCCTCAA